ATGCATGCAATTCTTAGAAAAGTAGCTTACTAGTTGGACATTTTTAAACTTTGGCTTAAATTTTGTCATTTTTAAATAGAATAATGCTATCTACATAAATCAACAGAGATTGAGAATATTAAAAAGATTGGGGGAAAATTTATGCTTAATCTTTTAATTTGCATTTAATCATCACAAATATCCCTAAGCAGTTTGTGTTAGCAAAGACAACACATGTATCTCTCAAGAACACACAAGTGTTAAGATGTAAGACAATATTCAACCTCAACTTTTTCTGGCACCAAAAGATCTTTCTTCTATTTCATGTGACTGAGATACTAGAAACCAACAACTTGCACTTCTAGGTAGCTTCATTGCATTGACTGTGTTTCTCTAGATTTGTTTCCTATGTCTGTGAAAAACAAAAAAGATTCCAACATTTAAAAGTTTAGCTTAAAACTAGGCATGGTTGTGCACCGCTGTAATCCCAGCTACTTGGGAGGTTGATATAGGAGAATCACAAGTTCAAAGTCAACCTCAACAACTTAGCAAGGTCTTAAGCAACTTAGCGAGACCCTGCACCAATATGTATAAGCTACAGTATCCCACCAAAACTAACAAAAAATAAAAATGTAAAATGACAAAAGCCCTAAAAAAAGTAGAAAATAATAAAAGCCTAACTTGAAAATTATCAAATTATATGTCATCAAATAACCTATTCTAAAATAAATATATTGAAGGACTATAACTAAATCAGTATCTCTGAAAAAAAAACAAAAGATGACTAAGCAAACAAATATTCAAAACTACAAATATTGACCTGAAAGATGTGCTGCCCATGAGTGGATGGATGAGACACATTTTGAGACAGTTGTTTATAACATTATTTTCACTAAAATTAAGCACTTAGATTGAAAAAGCACAAATGAAGATTAATTAAACTATTTGAGTCAGTCTAAGAGAGTAAAAGGCAGCTTACTAAGTAAATATATTAGCAGAAAGAATAAGGGTTGTAATCAACAAATTGTAAGTCAGAAGTCCCAGAAGCACCAATAAACCAAGAGAAATGGAGAAAAAGTGTTTAGAAGAATAATCAAAAGCAAATATTCAGCAAAATCACTGATACAACTGGAGACTGAGTTTTCCCCATAAAACCTATACAGATGATTAATGTCATCAGAAGGAGAAAGGATGCATCTCCAGGGAACTTGAGGGTTACAGCTAGGATTTGAAAGCTGGAAGCAAAGATTTCATCACATCTTCTGGCTCATTTACTCATTCATTCAATGATTTACTCAATATTAATTTATAATAGGAAATGAATAACTGGTGAAAGAAATATATTATAGAGAATTCAAACAGATTTTTTGGGACTATTGTATATAATATAAAAATCAGTTTTCAGAAAAGGATAAAATTAATCTAAAATAGATTAAAACTAATTTTGGGAAAAGATCCATTATTATAAAGAAAAAATTTTAAAGGGACATGCATACCTTTCCTCTTCCTGTAAGTAGCCTGAGGAGAAAATGGTTCACTATTTCCTTGAACCTTGGAAACCCTACAAAATCGTGCAAATCAAGAGGTTCAAATCGTGTATTCACTGTGAAGATAGTACCATAAAGACATTCATAAAACTTTGTATATATGGCTGGAAAACTACAAAGTGTCTGATATTACTTTAAAAAAATCAATGTGTATCATTCCAACAGTACAATGGTGGAGTTGATTGGTATGCCCAGAACAAACATTTGGGCTGGACAAATGGGTCATTGACCCAATAAAACTGAAGTCTTATTGCACATGCTTAAAAACATAAAGACTAATACTGAACTTAAGGGTTTAGATTTAGTTTCTCTAGTCTTTTAATCATTTATTCAGGTGAACAAAACATTCAAGTTTTATTTCCATAATTCTATATAGCTCATGTTTATATTAATCACAAACGAGTTCCCTCAGTCACACTGAGATGATATTTACTGAAAAGAAACAAATTGTTCCTAAACCAGAATTTGCACAGAAAAAAAAGATAACCCAGGAGACAAAAATTCAAAGCATAACAATAAATTAAGCATAAAATAATTTCAAATAAAAGTTAAAAAAAAGACATGTGTTTGCCGATGCACAGAATGCTTAGTTAATCAATAAACCAAGATTTCATAGAGAAAAAACCTGTGTTAATCTCTAATACTTTGCATCTCCATTATTACTACCCTGAATTATTGAAATTACCCTTTTGGTCTTTATGATTCTATGTAACATCTGACTATTTCTTGTTCACATGGGAAGAATGATGCTCTTAAAATCTCTGCTATAAGCATCCAGTTTCATACAATACCACCTAATTTTTCAGCAGTAGGTCCTACTACTTCTCAGAAACCCATCTCAAGCCATTTCCCCCATACATCAATAGTAGCCCATAGGCTTTTGTACATTTCTCAGACATCTTAAATTAATCCAACCTTAAGGATTTTTGTACAATTATTTCCATTTAGTCAAATCTCCTTCCTGTGATCTTTCTATGGAGAGCTCATTCCTACAACTCATCTAAGTTGACATTATAATTTTGTTGACCAATCTATTTTTAATATTTATTTTATATGTTAAAAATAAAAGTATAATATTAATGATACAATGTAATATTTTGATGCATGAATACATTGTATAATGTTTAAATTAGGATAAACTTATTTATTTCCTTAAACACTGTCATTTGTTTACTGTGAAAACTCAAAATTCTTCCACTTTTTGAAATATGCAGTATAATATATAGAATATAATTTTTAATTGTAGTCACCCTAAAATCCCACACCACAACTTCTTGCTCCTATCTAAATATAACTTAGTACCCATTGACCAATCTTTCCCTTTCCCTTCCTCTCTCCAGGCTTCCAGTAACCAGGATTCTTGTTTGGACTCCTCTGAAATCAGGTTCTTAGAGATTCCACAGAAGAGTGAGCACATGCAGTACTTGACTCTGTGTCCCTGGATTCTTTTACATAACATATTGATTTCCAGTTCTCTCCATGTTGCCACAAATGAGAAGAGTCCATTCTTTTTTGCGACTGAATAGTTTTTTATTGTTTATATGTACCACGTTTTCTCTATCTATAAGTTGATGGATACATTGGTTATTTCATTTCATGAGTATTGTAACCACCCAGTCCAAGCTAGCTCTTCAGAAAATCCTTATTCATCATCCTTGTTAACTTTCTGCTGGAGAGCAAAATTAAAGTTTGAATCTTTCATTCAATCATGGTATTTGTATGACTTGATGTTTATCCTACAGTATATGATTACTATTACAGTTATTCAGAATATATTAAATTATCCTTATCTAAACATTATAAAAAAATTTTCACCTAAATAAGTGCAATTAACTCTTGAAATTGTCACCAAGACATAGTGAGACAGAGTTTTTGTCTGAGTAGCACAATTCACATTAGAGTTAATGCAGAGAGAAGGAAAGATGGTAAAATGTTATGCACATACTACATATGTTCTCATTTAATCCTCAAGAGATTTCTGGAATACATTAAAGCATTTTTTCCCCTGTTTATCAAATACTGGAACTGTACCCCAAGAAAATGCATGGCAAGCTTCATGATTTAAGACCTAATGATGGATATATTATGTGATTTATGCAATCTAATTCAAAATGTCTTTACCAATAACCAGATTAGAATCATATTTGAAAATTCATTTTAACAAGAACAAACAAAAAAAATACTGTTCCTTAAAACCAAAATCTTACATGGAAACCCAGCAAGCAAGAAAGTGAAGATCTTTCTCTATGGCCTTCATGAACAACCGACTGATCCTACATAAATAACTCATGTTTCCCTGTGTGCTTTTTAAATAAATATTAATATGGGTTTAAAGAAATGTTTTCATGGTTTAGACATCAGTCTGTATTTTCAAAGCTACTCTTCCTTCCTTAACTCTGTATATTCCTGTGCTGATTTCATTGGTTCCACTCAGTTCATCTGAAAGAAGCACAGGGACATGGATATTGTTGAAAGCAGGTATATTTTTAAGCTGTATATTTTTAAGTGGACTGATGAAGGTGGTGCTACATGATTTTTGATTTTATAATTAATCTTCACAGGACATTGCAATTTCAAAACTCATACATTTAAATACTGATAATAAATATGTAAGTTAGATACATAAATACATCCATATATGAATGCATACATGCATGTGTACACTGACAGCCCACCATCTTTTATTTATGTTCTCTGCTTATCACCTTTATATCCCCTGTTTTCCAAAAATTACATCACTGACACAAATAAAAAATTGGCAAATGAGGAAGATTCACCTCCTGTTACAAGTAAGAGGAATGCTGGTCATAGAGTAGCACCTGGCTTGGGCAGTTCAGTTGTGATGTGTGGAATTAGGGTAGGGCTGTAAATATTATGGACTGAGTGCAGCACTCAAGACCTTGAATCCCAGAATTGACCCACAAGATTGTTCTGGGGTATAATGACATCTTGTGAGATGTTAGGGGAGCTGATGTTCCTGGTGATGTCATAGTACTGGTTGCCATTTCACAGCCATCCTCCCCACTGTTCACAAGCCTCTCATGATTGCTCACCATTTAGCCATCCCCAAAACATGTCTTCAGGGGTTGCTTAATTGTTCATCATATCATATATGGAAATTTCAAAGATGTCCATTTTCCTTGCCTGTATCCAGGATTTATATTTTTTTCCCATTTGAACCCACAAAATTTACCCTAAATTATCTGGTCACTATGCCTTTCCAAAAAAGAAACAGCTAACTTTGCAATAATAACACAAACGTCCAGAGAACTAGCATTATTTTCTCATATGTTAAAGATAATTTATCCCTACTGCAACAAAGGAGAATTTCAGGTTCCTTTCTCACTTGAATATTGGAAAAAAATATGTATTTTCTGTAAAGACATCCCTTTGCTATCTTCCTCTTGTAAATTTTATGTATTTCCTATAAAATTAATTCTCTTCTAAATCCCACCCACCCCTAATTCTTTCCTTAGGAGGTGTACTGGGACAACATATTTTATTCAGAGCTTCACTATTCTGCTCCAAGGACAGGTCAGTAGTATGTTCACCCCACACCCAAAATAGCTTTTCATTATGTCAGGGTCATTTTTTTCAGGACATCCTAGAAGGCATGGGCAGTGAGATTCATACCCAGTAAATTTTTTTTCATGCTGTCGATAGGACCATAATTCATGTGGTAAACCCTTAGACTTGAGCACATTTTCAGTCAGTATAATTATAATTTATAAAAGCAGTGATCAAACTTGTGCTCTGCTCACAAAACACATCCCATTTTATGTAATCATGAACATTTTTAGTTAGTTATATTCTTTCCAAAATCGTCTAAATTTTCTACTTGCCATTGACAGCATAACTATTCTTAGCTTATGGTCAACCCAGCATAATAATATTAATAGCTTAGTCCTCTTATCAAAAGTTAAAGTTCTTCAATGTGTTACTTTAAAAAATTGAAAGATTCAGGTAGTAAAGACAAGAATCTCTTAAAATCATTAAATAACTACTTTTCTTCATTGTTTTCTGTGTAGTGTCTGGAAAACTTGTCTCCATTCTGTTATACCACACAGTCGTGTCATAGCAATCACAGACTTAGATTCAATATGTTTGAAATTTACTGTCATCTGAAATCCTTTCATTACACAGTTCATTACATTTTGTCAGTAACAGAACAAGACTAAAACACCTTTAGGGGAGTCCTTTAGGTTTACATTTTAGTAAATGAAGCTATTTGTATTAAGGTGTTGAAGGTGTTAAAACACAGGTAATTTTCAAAGACAGGAAGTCAGGAAAAAAACGAAATATGAACAACAAAATAACAGCACCACACTACCATCTTAGTCACTCAGAAACCAACTTTTCTTCATGATAAAACATGATAGCTTCAGATTAGAAATTTTCTGTTCTATTTGACTTATAAATGAAGTAAACAATTAACTGGAAGTCATTTGCTCGATATGATGTTTAAACAAAACAGGGAGACAAGTAGTAAGCATGCACAGTAGTAGAACACCAGAAATATAATCCTTTCAAAAGTTTCAAAAAGTTTGAAAACATCTAATACCAAATGATTCTTTGGCAAAAGCAAAAAAAAAAAAGGGAAAATTCTAAAAACTTCAAGATCAAGAATATTCATTAACAATTTAGTAAATAAGTGATTGAGTTAGGCAATAATTTGGGACTAGATTCTGTTTTAAATTGGCATCTTTCTTTTAGATTTAGTGGATTATTAATACAAACATATACATACAATATATAAATATAATTTTGAGAAACATTCTCCTTTTTTAAGAGAATAAAATAGAAGTATTCCACAATCACTTCTTGGAAACTTATTTTCTATAGTGGGCTTTCTTTGAATGATGGGTAGGTTTAACTCTGATGGCCATGCAAGCTAGAAAAGTTTCAAGCTAGTTCTTAGCAGTTTGTCTCTCCACTAACATGCAGTGATTCATAAAGTTTTCCATGTTAGATTTAAAACCCCTTTCCTCACTCATTTTAGCTGTCACTGACCCAATCAGGCCCTCACTATTCCAACTTTGATTGTTGCTTATGGCAATAGTTTCTTAATTTTGTTTCTTCCTGTGGACCCTTAAGGTCAGAGGAGCCCTCACAGTGACCCCAAAGAAAAAGGTATTTGTGTCTCTTGTATGGTTACTTTGCACAGCCCAGTTAGGCCACTTTTCCTGGAGTGACCCCTGAGACTTTTAGTCACAAACAGAAACCCACCAAATAATATTTTTCTATTGCTTCCTACTTATTTTGTTTAAAGATTTTTGTTTAACACCATTTCCCTTTAAGCATATTTTCACAATTATTCTTAATTATCATTGTGATTGTAATTATTTTTCAGATGTGAAGAACTATTATTACATTTCATTATTAAGAGATTGTTTAATATCATGATGACAAACTAGTACAGCATGTTTCTTGCCTCAATTGTTTGAGAACAGGGCATAAAATTTTGTATATAAAGTCATCACAATTAATATGATGATATTCACAAGAAATATAAATGTGATTAGTGTTGATCCTTTTAATTTCTCAATCAGAAGACATATTTTCACATGAATTCAAGTAACCTTCTTGCATAGACTATAATTATGATAAATAAAATGCATACTTAAGTTTTTTTGTAGATAGTGTATACACTATTGGAATTAAATCCATTTGTTGACTTCATACAATAAAACGTGTTTTCATAGAATACAAAATCTCAGTTAATTGTTAAGATTCCCTTTCTCATAGACAAAACATATTGATAAAGTTTTTCTTCATTTTTTCTTTGTTCCTTTCCCCAAATATTTCTAATGACCACATTGGGAAATAGTTTATAACCATAAGAAATAAAATGCATTTATATGAATAAAATTAATTATTCTCTCTGGCAATAAATAAAACTTACAGGAAACTTAGAAAAGATAATATTTTCATTTTGATGAAATATTTTATAAGAAGCTAAACTAAATGTTATATCCATTCTCCAGCTGAAGTGTCTTACTTTTCTAAGAATAACATAAAAGTTTATTTTTTAAAAGTATACGTACATTCGGTGTGTATTGGCTTTTAGTCTACATTATTTGAAAACCTTACATAGTTTTAGTGTAAGTAATCAGTGGGTGAATCAAAACATTTACTTAAATAGAATGTGAAGTGTGACACAAGTACTGTACAAGCTTTCATTTGTCAAAACATATCCTTTGGTATGCTACTATAGCATCTGGGATTCATCATTAGTAACCTATTTTTTTCTTCAAATTTTAAATCTAGATGATTCAGGAAAAAAATTTGTTTTATTAGAGACTAGTCATGTGATCTTAACAAAAGTGAAAGAGATACTGAAAAAAATGTTAGTAGCTTTGAGCTCTGAAAGAAAATAAAACTGTTTTCTCCTTGCATCAATTTTTAGCAGTATAATTGTCTAATTATATAACTCTCATTTCAAAGTTTGCATTTACATTAGTCTTATGAAGCCTTATGAAATTTGTAGTTATTTACTTTGCATTACATTCTTGTGTGATGATGTTCTATCTGTGAAATGCCGACCTAAATTAAAAAAGATTATAAGAGCAGTTCAATGAATTGTGGAAATTATTCCATAGCATTCTAGGTGGGTAATATCACTGACATATTTAAAGACATGATAACTTCAGGCTTATAATGCATTTTTAAGAAATTGTATTTTCACATTTTCACACCATTTAAGGTAAGATAGTTCACGAGCTAAGAAACATAAAAGCTCTTTTATAAAAAGGTAGTTTTTTCCCCCAGTCTATTAAGACTTAAATGCTCTTTTATTCAAAACAGATTAATTTCATTACCTTTAGACAAAGTAATATTTTTTTTTCTCAAGGACAGAAAATGGAGAGTCCAGAATTTCTTTTGTTAACTAAATTAAAAAAAAATATTGACAAGTTAGCATCTAAGAACCCAAAATAACTTGCTCTAACTTGTAAAGAATATTAAAAATACTCTAAAGAAAATGCAAGCCTAGCACCATCTCTGTCAATCATATCTAGAAGTCATTTGAGGCATGCATGCACATGCACACACACCCACCCACACACACAAACACACACTTCTTTAGTCAGAACTCTTCAGTGCAGTGTATCACTTATGATCAATATTGCATTCATTTTATTTGCTATCTGCCTATGCCTTTATAGTCTTTAAATAATTAAGACTATTATCCTTTCTTATACATATGTGTATGTTTGAAAACCATCACATAGTGTAAAAAATCTTTGTGAATATTTAACTGATAATAAATGGGAGTACAGACTCAGATTCCACCTCAAGGTGTGTCTTTTAGAAAGCAATTATAAATAAAAGCCACTAATACAAATGCAATAAACTTGCTATTAAACATGCTGTGCTGACAAGAGATGCTTAGGTCTTCTTGATAACTCAGTGAAATGACAAGTATAAGCTGAGGGGAGCAAAGGAAATACAACAGCAAGACAGATATATCAACAACATTTTGAAAAAGTGACAACTGGATGGAGGAGTGATAACTGACATAGCAGACTATTAAAAGTGTCCCATAAGTACCTGCAGAGAGTAACATCAACTTCCAGCAAGAATCCAGAAATAGCGGAGCACAGCTGAATCTCGGAAGGCGTTGTGGAAGCAAAGTTTTTAAAATTTATGAGTTGGTTGGAAGAGCACATGTTCAAGAGTTATAGTCCTCAGAAATTCTAGCCTATTTGACAGCAGTATCACTACATCAATATTTTTTGAATACCCCTCCTGAACAAGTTTTCATCCAATGAAAAGTTGCTATCTAATTTGAAAAGACTGAAAGAGAGACAACTGAACTTATTAAGAAAGTTTCCAGAAAGAGGTCAGGTAGAGGAGAAGAATAGAGAACAATGAGGCCAAAGGAAAAAAAAAAAATCATCATTCTGAATTAGTGAGGTCATCTGTCATCCCTGTATTATTTGAGAAGCACCAGCAGCCAGAGAAACTAAAATTTGAGTCACACAGAAATCTTTCCAAATATCTCCATCTTCACTAATGCTGACCATTTGATGAAATGTAGTTATAAGTGCAAGATCATATACACAAAATCATTTATACTATAAACTAAAACCAACATTTTAGTGACTCATTCTTAAATATGAAAAATCAATTAAGTTGGTTAATTTTCATGCAATATTTGAAGGAAGCCTTCAAAATAAAGGACAGAGACCTCAGTGGGCAAAAGAGAGAACTTTATTAAAACATGGAAAATGCCACTACATAACTTCTAAAAAATATACTTAACACCATCTGAGTATAGTATCTTACATAAGGTGAGGAAGAAAAATCACAAGTTCATGTCCAGCTTGGGAAATTTAGCAAGATCTTTTCTCAAAATAGAACATTAAAAAGGGCTGGGCTATAGTTCAATATTAGAGCATCCCTTTTTTGCCCAGTACTGTAATATATATAGAAAGAGATATATTTGACACCCTTGAAAAGACAAAAGATGACATTACTAAACCTATGAAAAAATATTACAATTCACACAAAAGATAAAGAATTTGAGAATTTGAGAAACTTTATTTTGACATTTAAAACAAAATATAAAGAGTTTATAAAAATCAATGGAGAGCTTACTTAATATACTTTATAGTGTCTCTTGTAGGTGAAATAGAGATTTAAAAAATAAGAGTAGTAAAGTTCTAAAGCTCTACTATTTCATTTTAAAAAAACACTCAAGAAAGAAAAGCAAAAAACACAAAAGTAAATATAAAGAAGAATGTAAAAAACAACCAACCAAACAAACAAAAACCCAGCAACAACAACAAAAACTCCTCACTTCTGAACAGTTCATATAACAGTAACCTATATGCTACTTCCAGGTCTTTTCACTATTTTAGTGATCCTGAAAGATCAACAAAGCTAAAAATTAGGAAGAGATTGAGTCCATAAACCACCTCCTGAATCAAAGGGCTTCATTATTAAAAATAGCTACAGATTGTTTCTCTATTGAAATATTTTGCTTTTCATTTACTTTGTTCATGTTTCATGTTAGTTTCATTAATGTATTTAAATAACCCTTTTAATGGCCATGTCTGCCAATTCCAACATTTTGTGACTGTTGTAGGTCTACTTCCATGGGTGATTTTCTTTTTCCTGTTTCCTCATTTATTTCATTGCTTTTTCTAACATAAAAATAACTCCAGATATTGAAATTGAAAGATTTCTTTCCAGAAAAGAAGTGCCATTTTTTTTTCCTTTTTATGTAAAGCTGATAACATGTAGGACTGATCACAGTGATTCAATCAGAAACCAAACCAGTTAGGTACTAGGTAGTTAATTTGGGTCTGTCCAGTTCAATTTTCTTTTAAGCATGCTCTTTCGGTATAGAATTCTATACTTAGGTGGAGTTTGGAATGTAAACACAAAGAGACCAAGAGACAATAAAAACCTCAATGGCTTGCTTGCACACCACCAGCCTCAAGCACCAACACTTTACAAAGTAACCACTCTAGAGGAGAAATTATCATCCAGTGATCCTTCGCTCTGCCTCTAGAGCTTCCCAGAGTTTAATCCTTCACACCACTCCTTCCAGAAGGCTTCTTTCTCAGCAAAATCTTTCTTTTTGCAAGAATCTTTTATAATCTTTTTTTTATTGAAGCCAGAATTAGACAGGCAGTCAGTGTAGATAGATAAATCGAGTTGGATTGGATTAAGGAGAAAAATTTTGAGTGAGTCTGGGAAGTTGGAGACTTGCCCCCAGAGGGATTGAAATGTTAATTCCTTCAGAGCAATTCCTCCACCCTTATCAAGAACCTGCTCCTGCTCCAACCTGTTGCCAAGGTAACCTGTCCCAAGAATTTTCACTCCCTACAGGTTGTTAATGTGTCCTTGACAACTCCATCCTACCCTTCCCCATTCAAAGCACCTGTTTCCCATCTTTTGGCCCTTCCACTAAGCATTCCTGGGCCTAGTCACCTAGGCATAAAGGAGAAAGATAAGGGAAAAAAGTCAGGAGAACAAAGGAAGCCTAGGACATATAAATAGGGCAGAACACCTCCCTCACTGTAGAAGCCTGTGTTACCCCTTTTTAAATAAACCCTGCTTTATATGCTTGCCTCCACGTGCTTCTCTAATGTTCAAACTCCAACATGTGGGGAAGCAGGACTCATCACAGATAACGGGGGGTATCATTATTATAAGCTTGATCTCCAAAATGGATGCAATTCAGAAAGAGAAATGACTGCAAAACTCTATTCACTTAAGAGAGAATTTTTCCTTGGCATTTATTTATTTATTTATCTGGTTAGTTACTTTTATTTATTTTTTTATATATGCATGACAATAGAGTGTATTCTGACATATAACACATACATGGAGTATGACTTATACTAATTAGTATTCCATAATGTAGTTGTACATAATGTGGGGTTTCACTAGTCCTGAACACAGGAAAGTAATGTCTGATTCCTTCTGTTTTTCTTATTGCGATCCACTCTACCTTCCCATCATTCCTTCCTCTAATCCAGTGAATTTTTACCCACTCCCCCTAATGTGTTAGTATCCACAGATCAGAAATAACATTCAACCTTTGGCTTTATGGGATTGGCTTATTTCACCTAGCACAATAGTTTTCAGTTCCATTCATTTATTGGCACATGCCATAAATTCATTCTTCTTTGTGGCTAAATAATATTCCACTATGTATATTAGCACATTTTCTTTATCCATTCATCTATTCAAGGGCACCTAGATTGGTCCCATAGCTTCCGTATTGGGAATTGAGCTGCTATAAACATTGATGTAACTGCATCGTAGTATGCTAATTTTATGTCCTCTGGGTATAAACCAAGGAGTGGGATAACTGGGTCAAATGGTGATTTCATTCCAAGTTATCTGAGGAATCTCCATACTGCTTGTTTTCCAGAGTGATTGCACCAATTTGCAGTCCACCAGCAATGTATGAGTGAACCTTTTCTCCACATTGTCGCCAAAATTTATTGTTACTTATATTCTTGATAGTTGGCATTATAACTGGAGTGAGATGAAATTTCAGTGTAGTTTTAATATGCATTTCTCTAATTGCTAGATATGATGAATGTTTTTTGATATATTTGTTGGTTTTATTTCTTTTTCTGTGAAATACCTCTTCAGTTACTTTGCTCATTTATTGATTGAATTATTTACACAATTAAATTTGTGTAGTTTATGCCTTTTCTCTTACTAAGTATAATGGTTAAATTAATGCGTTACTCTAATGTTCCACATCTTGACTGGAAACACAACCTACATGAAAATCACCCATGCTATTTTAATTTCCTGCAATTTGAGGGTTTGTTAGTAAGGCTGAATAGATTTGGTTTGACTTACAAAATACAAACTTCATCCAAATTTTTATTATAGGGCATGGCTGCCCGCTTCCTGATCTTGAGGCTGCATATGTGGCTGGGAAGGCTCCTGGCGATCAGTGGTGCTGTGGGCAGTGATGGAGGAGGCGGACCACCTCCAGGATAGGTCCAGTACTCTTCCGCCCTCCTGGACAGCTCGTGCCTTCCCTTACAGACTACGGGATGGGTGTGCCCTCTGACCTTTATTCTGATTAGCTCCTGTGCAGTATATAAGCTGTGTGTACGTCCTCATTAAATGAGATCCTGCTCTGACTGTTCTCGCATGTCTGATTGTCCTCCTGGGAGGGCAGGCTAGGTGTGGGCGGCCAGTCGACCTTTGCCTTTCTTGGCTCATCTTGTTGGGGCATGCTTTTCCTGCTTCTCCTGCTGGTCAGGAGGAGACCGGGGCTAAAAACCCCAACAAGTTATAGTAAAGAAAGAACTGTGGATGATAACATAAGAGACACACCACTCCAAAATCCTGAAATGAGAAAAAGTTAGATAATCTGCAAATTCTATTACTTAAAAAAACTCATTATCAAATTATCTGAAGATGCAGATACAAATACCAAATAAATAACCAAGAGACTTGAAGATCTTTTTTCACATGAGCAAGAGAATAATAGGTCAAATAAGAGTCATGTTAAGAATTACTATTTTTTTTTTTGCAAGAGTTTTTGGTCCTCTTAGCTTTTAAAAATCATAAAGAATACATTTTGACACCTATCTCTCACCCTGCACAAAAATCAACTCAAAGTGGATCAAAAACCTATGAATTAGACCAGAGACTCGGAAACTGCTAGAAGAAAATATAGGTTCCACACTCCAACATGTCAGCACAGGACATTCTTAACAAGACCCCTAAAGTGCAAGAAATAAAATTAAAAAAATCAATAAATAGGATAGAATCACATTAAAAATCTGCACAGAAAATAAAATAAGAGTGTGAAGAGGGAGTCTACAAAATGTAAGGTTTTTCCTACCTGCTCCTCAGCTAGGGCATTAATATCCAGAAAATTAATTAAAAAAAAAAACACAAAACAACTTAACACCCCAAATCAAATAACCCAATTAATTAATGGGCAGAAAAAAAAACTAAACAGACAGCTCTCAAAAAAAGAAGTACAACCAATTTATATATATAAAAAAAATGCTCAACATCTCTAGCAATTAGGGAGAGAAGGGGAGGAGGGGAGGGAAGGAAGGGAGGAGGGGAGGGGAGGAGGAAGGAAACAAGGAATAACAACTGCTTAAATAAAGAGAATGGAGTAGTTTAAAATAAAAGGTATTTTTTTTAAGAAATAGAGTAGTATGAAAAACTCACTACTTTTAGAAAAAAAAAATAAACAGGAGGAAAAAAAAAGCCAGAATTGAGTAAATAAGAGCACTAATTTATTTTCAATACCAGAATCTAAGTCTGTCAAATAAATTGTATTGATGTAACCTGAACAAAATAGCTGGTGCTTTGAGATCTTGTAATATATAACCCTAAACATGAAGATGAAAATACTATGTTATTTATATTTACTAATAAGATATATCAAGGAGAAAAGAAACACCACAAAATATATTATCAAACTGCAAACTGTTAGGCCCAAAGAAACTAAGATGCATATAAATTCTCTTCTGAAGCAAAAGAAAACTCAAACGAAGGGAAATGCTGCTGATTATCTTTATCTGGGAATTTCATCCAAAACTTGGCATTTTGGGGTTTGTGGTTAAAATGATTCATTGCTTGTCTCCATACTTTGCCTATATTTACTCCCTCTAATTATATTTAATCTCTCTAATTATCACTTAAGTAATGGTGATCATCTATTTTAATGTTTTTTGAACTCCAGAAAGAGGATAAGAAGAAAAACTTAACAATGGTTCAATCATATATTTCGGTAACATAAGAAACAACCAAGCAAGAAAACGTTTGAGCATGAAGAGTGTACAGGCCAAGCCACAGCCCACTCTTCTGTGTTGCTCTCAAGGACTGTGCTTGACTGGTATTGATGGTAACCTAGAACACCAAACTGCTCCCAGTACATTGTTCTTCAACTAAACACCTGCATCCCATCATGCTGAAAGTTCAGTTCGTGGAGTTCGATTTTCAATCTACCTTCTTTGTGTCTGTCAAACAGAATTGGTTATTAAGTATCCCACAGATCCCTTTATAGATATTGTATAATTACAATGCATTATAGCAATAATGCTCTTAGGGGATATGATTAGGATCTTCTTATATAAAAACACATTTAATACATTTTTTTAAAGAGAGAGAGAATTTTTTAATATTTATTTTTCAGTTTACGGTGGACACAACATCTTTATTTTATTTTTATGTGGTGCTGAGGATCAAACCCAGGGCTTGGTGCATGCCAGGCAAGCACATTACCACTTGAGCCACATCCCCAGCCCCATTTAATACATTTTTAAAGATCTAGAATATCTCAACGTGTTGTTAACTCCCCATTGCAGAATGATTTGCTCAAAAGAAAAAGTGTAGAAATTTTGTGATCAAACACACATATAGAAAGTGCCATTTAGAAAACTAATGTGAACAAGAGCTGAACACAAGCTCATTTTCAGAAAAACAAGCAAAAACCTATTTATTCTAGAGGCTTGGAAACAGTCTGTGACTGAGCTGGGAGAAGATTATTTATTGGTTACTCCTATATATTCTCTTATCTAAAGATAAATATGTACAGTAATACAATAGTTTCATAATCTGCTGAATATAAACATAAAGAGTAAATGAGCAAGCCAAAAATATGAATTGAAAATAATATCCGAGTCATAGAGAGAAATAAAAATAATTTTCATTTAAAGGAACTTCAGTAAGAATGTAAAAATAAATATCTCTTCTTAGCATGAAATTTTAAAAAGATATAAAAAGAGCTACTGTGATAACCTTTTAACTTGCATTGTCTTATTTAATCCTCCCAGCAGAAATTACTTCATGTGTTTTGCTGATAAAACAAACAAATATTAAATAAATTACTTGCTCAAAGCAGCACACCTTAGAAATATTGGAAGCAGGACTCAAACTAAAACTGTATGAATTAAAAGCTTACACTCCTAAGTATCTTTTCTACCTAATTTCTGCATTCGGCTTGCAATAATGAAAATATCCTTGAGTTTTCCTCTCCCTCTGGCCCCATATGTGCCTTATGTAATCACTCAGAGTCAGCTGTCCCTACCTCTTCAGAATTAGGACAAACATGGAAATTTAGAGGATAATGCAAAAGCTTTTGCCTCCTCCAAAATTAAACAAATAGAAATATTTTGAGTTGCAGAAAGCATTTAAATTTATTCTTGAAATGATTACAACATACAATTTGGAAATTTGCATTAAAACTTACAAAATCTTTATAATCCTAGACCTGAACAGCTAAAGTTGTTAGCGATAAATGTTTTGGGCTTTCTTGTATTTACAATAGTCACTTCAGGTACCTATTATCTCATGTTGATGTTTTTCAAAAATTAATTTTCACACAATTATATGGGATCTTATAAAAATGCAGACTTCCATTTAGTAGGACTAGATTAGGGGTTTGGATTCAAAAATTCCACTAAGTTTTCAGGTTATGCCACTTTTCGTTCTCTTTAGATCACAAATTGAGCACTATGTTATATTTTACCTGTCATACATATGTGTATTGCTTACATCAGTTAATTTTGTGCCTCCAAGTATTATTGTGCTGACATGTTCATATAAACTAGTTAAAATATAAAATATATATTTTAGAATTGATGTTTGCTTTTTTCTACAAAATTATTTTCTTTCTAATCCTGTCAGATGGTAGATAAAAATAAATAAAATCCATTAGGACAACATTAAATATGATATCATATGGTTAATGTAATCGTAAACAACATCAAATGAGTTATTTTCACTAAGAAGTGACAAAGGTAGAAAAGGAAAAAGCACACATTATACATATATCTAATTGAAAACATATATAATTATTTATATATATATGTGTGTGTGTGTGTGTGTGTGTGTGTGTGTGTGTGTGTGAGTGTAGAGCTACACACATTTACACATGCACATACATTCATTGACATAATCTGCCTTAAAATGGCATATGATCTAATTTATCATTATGATCAATATTGCAAAACAATGCATACTTTACTAATCTTTCTTCCATCTTGGTTTTCTACACCTGTTACCATATTGCAGCCATTATGCTTGTCACCACTCTCCCAAAAACTATATCACTTTTCTTTATCACAGCAAGTCTGTGGGACACAGGTTGAACTGATTAGAAGGATTTTTACATTGCTTAATATTTCAGAGCATAAGTGATTGAGCTCTGTGTGTATGAAGATCTAAAGAAATGAATAGGTTAAGAGAGCTGAGTGTTAAATAATTCCATTCATAATGCATTGCTACCATCACTCTGGGCCAATATGACCTGTTATTTTGCTTTCCGTTTTTTGTATTGGTTCATTATATCCATTTCAATAACCCCCTGAGTAACTACTCCAATGTAGCTTATGTATGTACTAATGAATTATGTGTAATGTGTTTGGAAAGCTTTAAATTTTCAAACAAATGAAATCACATTATAAATGTTACTAATATTTAAACTTTTTCAATTTGTATGTTTTCCATGATTTATTAGTATTTCTATTTAAATTATTAATTATTGTTTTTACAATATCTTTTCTTCTGCACTCACTAAATATTTCCCTTCCATTCCCTGGTTAAAAAAACAAAGAAACAAAAAACAAAACAACAAAAATAAACTTTCTTGGTTACATACAAAAATTATTACCTCAAATAACATTTTGATTAATGCTCTTAAATTATTTTTTACACATCTTGCAAAAAAAAAAAGTTCCTTTTTATCTTAGTTCATCTAGCTAAAGATTTGCAAATTTGTTGATGTGTTCAAAGAACCAATTTTGGTTTAATTTTGTTTACTAATGATTTTCTATTTTTCATTTTATTTATCTCTGTTCTATACTTTTTATTGCTATTTCATATGGCAGAAATGCATTTAAATTTATATAAAATGCCAAAACAATTTTTCAAAAAAAAATTATACCAATCCATAAAAGTTCCAATTGGCCCATGGAATTTGGTTTGAAACTGAAATTTGGTTTGTTAAACTTAATTGAGGTATTCTATATGGTATAAGGTTTTACAATTTTAAATTATATTTTAATTTTCACTTTTAATGTAATTTGTCTGTTAGTTTGCATTTATTAGCAACTTAATGACATTTACATGTGTTATTTGCATATTAATATATCTTCTTTGTGAAGAATCTCTA